TACTTAGTTGCTTACTTGGTTACTTACTTCGTTTGGGCTGGACCCTGATTACCGTCGTCGAGACCCTGAGTTGGGTATGCGTGCATGGCTCGGCATAACTGGTCTCGCAACTGACACCCGGAAATGCGGCCTGCCTGTTGTTCCCTGTCTGCTTACTGACAGCCTGAAGTCTAGATACACGCATCCATACACACATACAGTGCGTCACACACATCTTCTCGTACGATTTAGCTGCGATTACTTGTACCAGTACAGTGCTAACAGTTGGTTGGCTAGCTAGCCAAGTAGCATGAACAAGCTCGGCCCACAGCGGAACACCACCACCACCACCTGTGATGTGATGAAGTTATGCGGACCCCTCGGCTGGCCGTGGGCGCACATCAGAAAAAAAAGCGGAGAAGTAAGACGGGCTGCCATGCATCTCACTCACTCAACACGTGCGTTGGGTTCTCGCTTGCCCACGGAACGAGACGATCTGCCTGCTGGTGTCAGTGCTGCTATTACTCCAACTGCGCCCCTTTCATTCCCCCTTCCCCAACCGACCCTGCATACATGAGAAGCCTTTTCCCGTGCCGCTCTCGCCTAACTGGATACGTAGTAACTCGCCAGCCCCCCCTGCCCCTACCTCGAGACAATAGCGCGCGCGCCCCGTTCCTCCGCCGCCTATTAACACGGGAAAAAAGGCAACTCTGCTATAGTAGCGGTTTTAAGACGAAGAAAAACGGGTTCAAATGACTAGCCGAGTTAGCAGCGCGCGCCTAAAACAGAGTGCTTACGTTGGAGTCTTATCATGTCTTTGCTTCCGACGGACGGTGAACATGCATTTGGAGCGAAGGGGAGGGAGGGGGGGGGTGGACCCAGCCGGCACATCAAACACCCTGACCACCGACCCCGGAACTATCTATGTGTATGTACATGTATGTAGTCAGTTCGTTAGCTAGTTAGTTAGTGTGTATGCTGCTAGTACGTACTGTAGTTTACTCGAACCTGGTTTTTTGTCTGGATACAGTACCCACGCACAAAAAAAAGACGCCCCGATGGCGGACCGAAAGCCAACTTAAATCAACTCGCCATGCGCATGCATACATGTAGGGACCCTCGAAAGGAAGCCAAAGAAGCGAATAAGAAGATCGTGGAGAAGCCGGAGAAAGGGCAGATCCCTTTACGCTTTTGACTTTTGCCCTTGCTAATGCTTGTCCTGGTAGCCACACACACACCCACCTTTTCCATACGAGGTCCCTGGGAGAAACAGAGAGAGAGAGAGAGAGTGGGGGGGGGAGAGGGTCCACATCAATTGGGCATGGTATGCCTTGCTAGTTAGAGTACAAACTGCTGGATCCGACATCAACTACTTGGGCACCTTACCATGACCATCTACTCACATACGTACTAACTCATTACCACAAGCCGATCGGAATCAAGAAGCCCCTCGCTCCGCTCTCTCTCTCTGGCTCGCGGCCTTTGCTCCCCACCCCACTCCCCCCCCCCATGCATGCCAGTAACTTCTCTAACAACAAATCTACTCGCTGCACCCCCCCCGCTAACCAACCACATACTTGCCGAAGCAAGTACGCATGGCGTAACCTAGGTAGTATATTCCCCCATCCATCCCCCCCCCTCTACGTGTCTGGTCTTGTTTAAACTCTCCGCCCCGCCCGCCCACATCCGACTACCTACCTAGTCCTCGTCCATGCTCATCCGAACACCTAGTCCTCGCTCGGATCCTTGGGGAAGAAGAGGGGAGGGGTTGGATGACTAGCTAATCAACTACTATACTACTTATCTATGTACGAACATGGATACACGCATGCAGTGTGATTGCTCTGCCCCACCAGGAAACGGGCCGAAAAGAGAGCGGCGGCGCACGTAGCAAGGCCCGTCTCCCTCCCTTCCTCCCTTCCCTTCCCTTCCCTTCCCATACCTTGCCTTGCCTTATCTTCCCCTTGGCTCGTCCATCCGCTTGTTCCTTCGCTCGCTCGCTCGCTCGTTTGCTCCGCCCATCTGCAAAGAATGATGATCCGCGCCCACTAGCCCATGTTCGCATGCATACCCATAGCCATACCAAGTCACTACCCAAGACTTTTCAACAACACTACTCTTTTACATGACTTGCACCTACTGACTCTTTGTTGCCCGCGAGACCAAAAAAAATTAGGTGACGCGTTCCATGTCTCTCTTTTTTATTTTTTTACTTACCCTTTTTTGCCCTTTTTTCCCTATATACATGCCCGCGCCGATGTACCACTAACCTACTAGGTATAGGACCCTTCTCAGCACAATCCATACACACATCACCCCCCCCCCCCCCCCCCCACCATGCCATCCCATGCCATCCCCCTCGCATCTCCACCGGCCATTCTGATAAAAAAACCCCCAAACTAATGTAGGTAAGCCAGCAAGCGCTGCAGTTGAGCGTTCCAGGCGTCTCTCTTTTTTCTCACATATCTCGTATCCGTAAGCACCAGCTTACTCTTGCTTCTCCGCGGCGACCCTGGACCCCTCTTTCCTAACGGTTTTCTCTCTGGCTTTTTAGGCCCTCTTCGTTGTTGTCGTCGCCGTCGCCGTCGGTAAGCCGTAGTCCGTCATCCGTGGCGGTCTGGAAGCACTGCGCGGAGATAGCATGGTTACGGGGGACGGCTCGGTGCATCGCTTGCATGTGCCGCGTTTGAGGTGTAGATGGAAAGGGGGGTGCGTGTGAGGGGGAGGGGGAGGGGGAGGGGGGGACCGTGTGCGCATATGCCGGTCTTGGGCGGCGAGCGACGGGTGCGGGGTGTGTGTGTGTGTGTGTGTGTGTGGTGTGGTGTGAGATGACTAGGGGCTGTGTCTATGCGAGGGGGGCAAAGTAAGAAAGGGAAATGCGCATTCTAGAGTGCGAGCGGGGGAGAGGCATTGGAGAAACAGGACAAGGCACGTAATCATCATCGTCATTATGTTGGAGGGGTTGGGGTATTCGCTCAGTCGGGGAGGCGAGGCGAAAGGCGGGTTGAGAAACGTGTATGAGATTGATGTGTGGCGCGTTTGAAGGGGCTATAGGCTGTGGGCTTTGATTGTGGTCGAGTCGAGCGTGGGAAATGTTTGTCGAGGTCGCGCGCGCATGCGAATCTGCCATGTCCTATGATGGGTGCCAAGCGCCAGGGTGGGTTTACATAAGACGTGTTATGCGCGAGCATTGGACATTATTACAACGAGCCAAGATGGGCTGAGTACAATATGTAGTAGTTGTACATGTATCATGCATAATTCCTCTTCTTTTCCAGACAATCCAGATAGAAACACAGGAGCTCCTCGACACATTCTCGCATCTCAAATTCCCCCCCCCCTCTCTCTCAAAACCCTGCGTGTCTCTTCCTCTTCCTCATCATGCACACCAAGGATAGGTAGATGCTCGACAGGGCTGTCAGAGCCCAGCCCACTGATTCTACCCTCCCTATCGTGTCCGGGAACTACCACCTGCACTGTTTCATTGTAAAAGTTTATTTTCTCTTCATCACCAGTATCCTCCTATCCCAATGCTGCGCGCGTATATATCATCTATGGGGTGACGGTGGGGTGACTGATGTGGAAACCCGGTCTATATGCATCATCTCTCAACCACGACAGTCGATGCAAGGTGCTTGGTAATCCTTAGTCAGCTCTTGATTGTTTTCACCGTGTGCACAGGGGCTGCAAACCTTAGTCCCTTCTGCTTTTGTCGTCTTCTCCGTGGAATGGCCAAGCGGACATGGAGATGGCTAAGGATTGGCATTTGTCAGAACCGGAAGCCCTGCTGGGGTTATGCCTGGTTTCCATTGGTTGCTATTTTGAATCATGGTAATGCAGTGCCAGGCATTCCAAGGAAGTATGCACAAGGAGAAGTGAAGGCGGTGCAGTGTAGTCCATTTCAACATGGGAGGACAATACGAGATCCTTGTTTGTTCTTGGCAGTGAAAACTGGAAAATGCGTGAGAGGAAAACAAAGAAGATCAATGTCAATAGATGTACCAACGCTGGCTGTGAATAGATTTCCCCAAGAGAGTCAGCCTCCATGTCTTCATGAGGGGATAGAGGACAAGCTACGGCTGGAAAATAAACTCCAAAATACGAAAGCGGTCCTCGTGCTTGCAGAAGTCTATTGCTCTTCGCAAAAATCAATTGTGTTACATGTCTGTCTACTTGTTCTGTCCAAGGTATAGATTATGGTACCTCACTGTTGTCATATGCTGTGTACTATTCTCTATTTGTGAACTTGCCAGGTGATTTGAGCCCGCTCGCCTTTGTTCATGTATTATTAGAAGTGATACCTAATTCTCCTTCGCGTAAAAAGATAAAATTACACTCTACTGTGTGAAAGTCGCTGCGTTAGCACGTCGAAATCACTTATAAATCACGTATGAAAGCAGCAAAGCAATTTGATTTCTACATATACGTCAAGAAGTAGTCTTTTCTTCTCACTGCCAAGTCCCCTGTCCCAACTCAGCTATGTAGAGAATGTGATTCTAGTCAATCACTTCGTCTCACCTAGCAGTCCTTGCAGATTTTCTCTTCTTCTTCAACTCCTTTTTCAATTCCTTCGCCTTCTTCCTCTTCTCTCCCCGTTTTCTCGCATTCACAGCCAACTTCTCCTTCTTCTCCTGCATTGTACGAGCATGGTAAGCTAGGCTACGCTGCACACGTGTAACAACAGTGGCAAGATTTGGTGGCCAGTCGCGTGTCGTGAGCTGTGGGTCAGAAAGAAGACGGGTAGTGTGCGAATGCAGTTTCTGGAGCGCAGACGTGAGGGGCGTGTCAGGCTGATCTGGGAAAGGCGCATTGAGCCTCTTTCGGTGAGGGTCAGGAAGTGGTCGGTAGCTTAGGCTAAATTTTTGGCTTTGTTCTTTTTCGTTGTTTTCTTCCTCTTCTGCTTGGGTGAGGGCTTGCTCGATTTCTAGTTCTTCCTTCCGATCAATTGCTTCTTTTTGTTCTGGTTGCATGTCTTCTTCAAATAGATGAGACGAGCTCTGGCCTCTGTTTTCCAATACAAAAGCTAGACCAAGAGAGTGTCGACCGTTATTGCTGTATGTGGTACCGGGTTCAGAAGTTTCTTCGATGCTGTCTGTCCAGAAAGTCTCTCCCTCGAACAACCTCTTTGCAGTCCTATACACTGCGCCAGTGACTGGGATGAGCTTGTTCTTTTCGTCCATGGTAGCGTTGACTTGCAGCCGCCCACTTCCATGCCCAATCGTAATAGCACCCTTCATCAATGGCTCAGGAGCTAGCATCTGCTCGACAATCGTACCAGGTAGGCGAGCCGCAACTGCTGTTGTCAAAGCTGCAGTTAAAGGTATAGCGCGATGGGGCTGTGTATCGGAGAGGAAGCGGAGGACAATGTCCATTTGCGATGACTGGAGTATTTCCCCTGATAGCACAGGATGGCTGGACGACTGAGATACAAGACCAATCTTGGGTATTGTACGGGGCACCTCATCTTCTGTTTTTGCGATCCCCATTGCCACTGCCGCAGCTTTCCGTATCTTTTCGAGCAGGCTGAGTTTATCTGTAAGCTTGTTGAAGTCGTTTGGGAGAATGGTACCATCCACGCCAACTTCGTCTGCGCGGATAAAGACAGCTGGGTTTGCTCCATCTACGCAGGACACCCTGTAGCCTGCAATGTTGTCTATGCGTTTGCCCGTGGGTAGCACTTTGCCGGTCTTGCTACCATATGGATTTTTGAAGTCTAGCTTGACCTTTGAGCCAGTCCCAGTCACTCCATCAATGCTGTAGTCGCCCAAAACAGCAGCCTGCGCTCCGACAACCTCAAAGGTAGAGTCTATCAACTTGCCAGTGTTGGTGTTTCGTATTTTGACTGTGAACTCTCCATCGCCCTGTGCGTAAAACCGTGATGGAAGGAGACCTGCATTGTATGCATAGGGACCGATAGCGCTGCTCATGTTCCCACAGTTGCCAGCAACATCCACTTCTTTGTTCTCAATGCCTAGTCCAACGAAAGTGTAGTCAATATCTGGTTCCTGCTCGTCCACATTTCGACGACCTTCCTCTTGAGCCTGTGCTTCTCGTGCAGTTTCCCGGGCTGCATCAATTCCACCATACCCCGTGCGAAAACGGATTCCTTTACTGTCGGTTGCAATTCTTTTCCCGTACGGTTCAACTAGACATATCTTGCTCAGACTCGATATGCCGGCTCCCATGCCATCAAGCTGGCGGCCGTAAGGATCACCACTCCCCATGAGCTGGCGGAAAATGGTCGGCCATTTTGCACGTTCTCTGGGCAGGTCTTGCGGTTGGATCATGACTGCCCGCGAGGTCCCTCCCCGATAATAGGCCGCCTTGATAGGCTTCTGCACGGATGCAGAGGGAGGAGCATCATGTCGAGAGACAAACGTGCGTATGCGCAGGGAGAAGATTGGCGAAGGACGCATTACGCATCATGACATTGATTCAATGTTGAGGGGATATGTCGGAAACTGGCATCTAAAATTGGATGGAGGCGAATGCTTGGAAAAGATCGACCTCGGGACGGATAGGTTTGGACATTGGACCCTGTATTTTCGGGTGCATTGGGCAAGCGCGTCACAGGTCCGAATTTTTCTCGAAGCGCTCCGACATCATCGCATCACACATCTATCCCGCACTTTTTCGCCGCACCGCCATCCCGCTGCCTTCGCCTGCATTTCATACACATTCGCACAAGATGCTGCAAAGAACCATTCTCCGCGCATCAAGACAACAGGCTGCCCGCCAAATACGGGCCTTTACGCCACTACGTCAGCAATCTCCCATCATCACACGAGCAGCAGCCACGCCTGCCATTAGATGGTACTCAGATGCTGCGCCGGCAAAGGAGGGCGAGGCAGCCGAGAAGAAGGAGGATGCGCCCGCAGAAAAGAACGAAGTGGCGCAATTGAAGGAGCAGCTGGAGAAGAAGGACAAGGAGATTGTCGACCTGAAGGTACGCTCCACCACTTGGGTTTAGACATTGGAGGGGCACACCAAGGCTGACAATGCCTAACAGGACAAATACCTACGCTCCGTCGCCGACTTCCGTAACCTCCAAGAGCGCACAAAGCGCGAAATACAAGGTGCAAAGGACTTTGCCATTCAGCGCTTTGCCCGCGACCTCGTAGAGTCGGTCGACAACCTCGACCGCGCCCTCGGCACCGTTCCCCAGGAGAAGCTCAAGTCGGACAACACCGACCTGATTGCCCTTCATGACGGCATCAAGATGACCGACAACATCCTCATAAACACGCTCAAGAAGCACGGCCTGGAGCGATTCGACCCCTCGGAGGCGGCAGAGAAGTTCGACCCCAACATCCACGAGGCGGTTTTCCAGGCCCCGCAGCCAGACAAGGAGGACGGCACTTGCTTCCATACACAGCAGAAAGGCTTCAAGCTCAACGGCAGGGTACTGCGACCAGCCAAGGTTGGCGTTGTAAAGAACGCATAAAGGCCATCTTTTCTCAAATCAAACACGGCGGGTTTGGAATGTTCTTCGCATCTGTATGACTATGTTGGCTCGGCTTGGCTCTTATTAAAAGAGCACGGTACATTTGGGAAAGGCGTTCTCTTCGTGTGCCACGCATGGGCTACACTTGAAGTTTCTCTTGGACATGTGTACATATATTCCCCTCTCACGCACTGGAAAAAGTTGAGCAACAACAAATGACGTAACTCGTGAGTTGCACTGTAATATTAGCTATGACGGATATGATTTCAAAAAAAAGAAAGAGCCCCGAAGGAGAGAGACATGGTCAATTTGACATTGCTGTTTCCGTCTCCAATTTGCCGGTCTGAAGAGTCTTGGGTGTTTCTGACGCCTATCCTTTTTTCAACGCCAGCCCATGCAATTGTTATACACCAAATTCAAGCGTCGTCTCTTCGATTTCTCGGAGTCGACGTATGCCTACCAGCCCTGGCCATAAGGCGTAGCACCATATGGCGTGGTTCCGCCTTGCGCCGCGCCACCCCATGAGCTGGCGCCGCCATAGCCTCCAGGGCCTCCTACAGGTGTGTAGCCTCCCGCATCGCCATAGCCTCCCCCGTTCAGCATGGGGCTTTGGGCGCCACCAAAATCCTCGGGGTCTCCAACGCCACCAGAAAGTTCTTTAAGGACTTCGGCGAGTTTGATTTGTAATCGTGAAATTCCTTTTGTGACAATCTGATCAGGCTCAATACCACCCACTGTCTCGACGTCGTAGAAGAAGCGCGTGGGCACGGCGTTGTAGTTGAAAGGCTCATCGGGGTTGGGTGGGCCGCCGTCGAGGTTGATACGGGCTTCGTCTTTGGGCCTGCGAGCATGCCGTTAGTTTGATGCTGTCCTCTTGATGTCACTAGAATCACACATACCACTCCTTCTCCGCATCTTCCTCGTGCCAGTAGTCCAAATGGTGCAGCTTGTTCGCAGGGTCGTACTCGAACCCAATGGCCGCACTAGGCGCCCATTTTGCGTGTTCCTTTGCAATACCCTTCTTCGCGATGCACTTCATGTTAATGGCCTGGCCCCGGCGTAGCTTCACGATGCAGCTGCCCGTGCCCTCGGAGTCGGTAATGACTGGTCGTCCCACCTCGTCATTTGGCGGCCTTGACTCGATGACCAGATCGCGCGCATACACCTTCATGACCTCGCTGCCTGTGCATTTTGCGTTGAGAGTCAGGACAACGCTGCAGTTGTCGCAGTAGCCTTCGCAGTCGCAGTCACGCGAATACAGCAGGTCATCTACGCCCTTTGAACACAAGGGGATGAGACCCAGGCGGTGGCACACAAACTCGTCGGCAAGAACCGATGTGTTGTCAAACACTTCAACGACATCGATGGCAAGGGTCGGGATCTCGGCGAGCATAACACGGCGCAGTGCATTTGCGGTTTCCAGGTTAAAGTTTTGGACAATGAAGTGTGCGCGCTGATTGTCCGCCTGTGCATGGCAGTGTTAGCTGAGCATGTCCACCTGACGTAGACAAAGCGGGCGGTGTACCTGGAGGAAGCGGACGTTTATCTGGCCGCCATCTGGATCGTAGTCCATCGCGTCGGCGTTTGGGTGAGAAGGAGGCTGAGGGGGTTACGAAACTTGGGCGGGGGCCGAGGCACCAAGGCGACTGGAATGGATGACGGAGAGGGACGTGTTGGCGTGTGTGGGGTGGTGTTGGCTAGGGTCGTCGTGCGCATACGGAGATTCTTTGAGGTGAGCGTGGAGGAAAGGCGCCTAAGCCCATTGCGGCTGGGACGACATGCGCCACATTTGCGCCACGTCTGCGCCACACGACAGCAAAGTGAGGCCCGCGGTTGGCTTGCAGCATTCGCATGGCTTGCTCTTTGGGGATGTTGTTTGTCTTAGATGCGCGGGATGGACAAGCTCAAGGCGCCGAGCCGGCGAGGGCTTGGGAAAGTACCATATCGGATGCGCAGGTATACCAAGATTCAATAGTGACAAAAGAAAAGGCACCAGCTCAGCACATATGCTCAGCCTGCGTGCGGACCTCGAGACGTTGGCGAGACAAGGCATGATGGTCAATCGGCCTTGTACACGAGATGCTTGAGACGCCTCTGGCCGACACGTACGCTTCAGGCCAGTCACGGGAAAAAGCCGCCGCGTGTGAGACACGAGAACTTGGTCGGCTGACAAAGCCCGTCATGCACGGAGTTCCCCAAGGCCATACCGCAAACTGAGCCGGTTGACGTTGGCAAATCCCCTCGTGGTTCCAGATTGCGCAGTCCCAACAGGCGATCAAATCTCTATCTATTACCTTGTCCAGTTGGACACGACCACGGCCTTAGCAGCATGTACGCTATGGAACGCGAGCAGGGATAGGCCCGACACCGACGGTTGGCTGAGTACTGGGACGACGGCAGACAGCGGAATGTGGGCCGAAGCAGACACTCGTAGACAATTCTCTCGTCTTTTGGGGGGCTGAGTTAAGGCGAGCATGCGGCCGCGAGGCTGTGGGCCTTGGTTTGGTCTCTGTGCGCGGTGATACTGACGGGCCAGATGCGATCAAAGACGCGTCCGTTGAGGTCCGGAGCCCCCTAGCAGCACAGGTCGGTGGGTGAGTAAGAAGACGGGGCAGTGCAAACAATGCCCAGTAATGGGACGTGGTCGCGGGAGTCGTGAGGGCCGAGTGCTGGGCTTGGCGGAGTGAGGCGGAGCACCGCTCGCTGGTGGCATGCGGAAGCTGGAGCCATCCGCCCACTGAGGGCGCCGTTTGATATAAGACGCGCCCTTTCACTGGATGGGCTGCTCGACAACTCGCTCCAGCCCACACAACAAAGCCCCAGAACATCTCTTCTGCACTCCGCATCCATGATCTCAACTATGCAACCCACCATGCCATCAACGCTGCGCTCTCGCGCATCGTCGGGGAGCAAGTCGCCACTTTCCCTCAACCTTTCAGACCTGCCACCGCTGGTCGAGCCCTCGCCGCCATCCAACACACTCATCATCACCGTAAGTAGCCTCGGCCTGGGCTGCCCCGACACTACTGACAAAAGCCAGAACCTGCTGTCGCCGGAAATCTTCCACCTATCCACCCTCACCGAGATCCGCGAAACCATCAACCAACATGCCAAGGTCCACACCTGGGCACCGCTCAAGTCCTTCCGTCGCATAGTAGTATCCTTCTTCGACACGGAATCTGCGATACAAGTACGCCAGGCTCTTGACGGCGAGCAGCTCATGGGCTTCCGCATCCGCGTCTACTTTGGTGTCAACACACCCATGAACCCGACGGATCAACACCTCGCACTTCCCAAGTCGGACCGACTATTCTTCATCTCACCACCGCCATCGCCACCTATGGGCTGGGAATCCAAGGAGGAAGATGCGCCCAACACGATTGTGCACCCCGAGGACCTCGCAGCAGCGCTCGCAAAGCTGCATGCAAACCCCGAGGCGTCGTCACCTACCAGCGAACACGGACCCAGCCCCATCACCAGGAGGCGGACGGGCAGCACGACTGTAGTCTACCACCCAGAAGACCATGGCGACTCGCCCAACCTTCCAGCTATTTCCGTCGAGGACACAACTGGCACACCTGAGCCCACGACACCTCTTGACACAATGGAAGGCATCGAGGGACCCATTGCTTCGCAAAAGGCACAAGGCATAACCATCAGCACTGCAAGGCCACCTGTCGAGCTTATGCATTAAGACGTTCTGCCGCTTTATACCCCTCACTCTTTATTTCTGTTGTTCTGTTACAAAAAGCACTGCATGTGTACATGGTTGTTTAAGCAAGGCACGGCTTCGGCGTTTGTGGTTTATAGGACTGGGCAATACTCGGGTTTGAAGTGTTCAATGTATGGCATTTGGAATGGAAACGAACTGCGGCTGCGCGTTAGATAGCGTAGCACTCGGGATCTGCATGAGCTACAGTCCCTCTGAAATGAGATGAATACGTTTGATCTTCGACTGCTTTGTTGTTTGAAGTTACGAGTGAAGATGACGCAATAGGCCTTGATTCGAACTGATTTGACATTTCGCCTTGCACTGTGGCTTTTCTATCAAATAGCTAATGCGATCGCTGGTGTTTTGTCGCCTGCAGTGTTGAAGCTGGAGTGCTCGCAATCACGCGCATGACGCACGGCAAGTGTACTTAGCTTCTGAAAATCAATGGTGGTAAATACGCTGTAGGTGCTTTTATGCGGATTTTAGCGAAAAAATTCAATAGATCCAAAATAAAACATGCGCTTCCTACGCACGACTTGAGGAGTCCCCGCGGTTTTGGTCCATGTTCCTGTTGTCGCGCAGGCACGTGAGGCGCCAAGGACACTAGCGCGCACCACCTCGCTTACAGGTTCGAAAACAACAATTTGGAAATCTCGAAGTTGGACTCTCACGACGACACCCTACTAACGTTGCAGCTTCCGCACGCCGTCGAGACGCCGCAGTCAAGATGAAGCTCAACATCTCCTACCCCAACAATGGCACCCAGAAACTGATCGAGATTGACGATGAGCGCAAGCTCCGCGTCTTCATGGACCGCCGCATGGGTCACGAAGTCCCTGGCGACAGCGTCGGCGACGAGTTCAAGGGCTACATCTTCCGCATCACCGGTGGTAACGACAAGCAAGGTTTCCCGATGAAGCAGGGTGTCATGCACCCTACCCGTGTCCGACTCCTGCTCGCTGACGGCCACTCCTGCTACCGCCCCCGCCGCACTGGTGAGCGCAAGAGGAAGTCTGTTCGTGGCTGCATTGTCGCCATGGACCTTTCCGTCCTGGCTCTCAGCATCGTCAAGAAGGGCGACGAGGACATTCCCGGCCTGACCGACATTGTCCACCCCAAGCGCCTCGGTCCCAAGCGTGCCACCAAGATCCGCCGCTTCTTCGGTCTCAGCAAGGAAGATGATGTGAGTTTTCTCATAGCTTCTTCGCCAATCCTGCTTCGCCCAGCGGATTGAGTCTCGCTCTATCCTGCGACAAGCAGCGCATTGAGTCTGAGCAAGAAGTGAGCCTAGAATGTAGCAAGGTTTGACCACTAACAATTGCCCGTGTAGGTCCGCAAGTTCGTCATCCGCCGTGAGGTCCAGCCCAAGAAGGAGGGTGCCAAGCCCTACACCAAGGCCCCCAGGATCCAGCGTCTGGTTACTCCTCAGCGCCTCCAGCACAAGCGCCACAGGATCGCACTCAAGCGCCGCCGTGCGGAGGCTTCCAAGGACGCTGCCGTACGTACACCCTACATCCATCTACACAAGCATGGACTGACCATATTGCAGAACGAGTACGCTCAGATCCTTTCCAAGCGCATGAGCGAGGCCAAGGCCGCCCACGACGAGGCCCGCAAGAGGAGGGCGTCTTCCATGAAGCACTAGGGGATGGTCATGATTTCATGATTGGGTCGTGGAATGTTTACATTGGCGTCGGCACGAAAATAAGGGTGTGGGCTCCTGTATCTGAATGAAAACTCCGGACATTCAAGGGGATAGGCGCTTTTCATACCACTGGCTGTTTAAGGCAGTTGTCTGAATACACAATTGCATCACTTCACGACCGTCCGCAACGCTTCCTCCATTTTACCCTGTTGCCTCGTCTTTTGATTGTGACAGATGAGCATTGGCTCTTTTCAATGCCATTGTTCCCATCACCATGGAATTCCTATAGGATCTTCCTACTTCGCGTCGCCAGGCTTCAAGCGAATGAGCAGAATTTTGATTGCTTCTAGCCGCTCTCACTCACAAAACTAGCAAGCTGTGGTCCACTTACCCCACTATCTCATCTTATTACTGTGCCCTGCCTTTCAATGCCCCCAGCGTATGGGCCCTCTAGGATATCACTCCCGCCCAGTAATCCCATCGTCCCGTTACCCAACAGATCGCCAGATGGCACACCACTTCGACGGTCAGACCATATCTCATGGAAACGTATCGCCATATCACTAGCCGCAACCACGATACACCCTTCTTCAACACCTCTTCTCGCTCTCCCATCATCAGCGTCATTATCTGGTCTTGCGCCACTCGTAGGACCGCCTGGGTATGCTATTGCGCACAAAGCCCGGCTCTCATCATACCACGGTACGGCAACGACCTGCTCGCAGCTTGGCCACGCAAACACAGCGATACGGTAAGGATGTTCGGGCTGCGCAAAGCCAAAAGTTGCTGCTATCTCGCGCCGTGTCTGCGACCAAACGAGGCTGGTGACTTGGGCTGCGCAGTCAATGATTGCGAGGCAAGTGCCAGAGCGCGTATGGTAGAAGCGGACACATCGGTCGTTTGAACCGCCGCCAATCGCAATCAGTCCACGTTGCCAGGGACAAAAGGCCATTGCCTTGACAGCCGCATTCAGTGTCCATGTGTGTTTTGCTGCCGACTGGTTGAGGTGCAGGACTGGATTGCTGCGATTCGTCACCGTATAGATTGACTCCCCGTTAGGTCCACGGACATCGAGAACAGTGGCTGCGTCTGCGCTGGGTGGGCTTGGCCGAAGGACTTCCCTTGTTTCAAAGAGATTGCACTTGTTGTCGTTGCCGCCGCTTGCAAAGAGCTGGCCATCCGGAGACCATGTGAGGCCGCAGATTTGCTGGCTGTGAATCGTCAGACGAGCGAGAAGCGTCATAGCCCCGTGCCAGCCAAACAGCGCACTTTGGGTTTCTGAAGGCCATTCTACGGTGTAAAAGTAGATGTGTCCCACTTCGTCCCCGATGAGCAACTCTTCCGTCGGTACCATCATCGCTCGGTCACGAAGTGAGGGCCGCTGCACAACAGTCGGCCTCCAGGATACACATGAGACTGGCTTGGGCTGTGTAACATCAAAGCGAGGTTCTGAGTCAAAGGGACTCCAAAGTGAGATGCGTCCGTCTGCTCGACCTACAGCCAGGATTGCTTGACCGCCTGCTTGCGACGAAAAGCCTAGAGACGTAATGTGCCGGTTTTCAGGACTGCTGTCTGGTGGTGTCGCATTGAGCGATTCTGGAGTATTGACACCACTGCGCTCTGACCAGATATGCACAAAGTTCCCCAGGCCGACGGCAAGACATTTGGCTGTGTAAGAGTATGCGAGTAGCGTGCAATAGTAATCATCACGAAGCTCAGGTGCGTCAAGAACTGTGGGTTGAGTTAGCTTCGACAGATTTTGATGTCCATTGAAACATATCTGAATGGTAGGATTGGTACAGCTCTTCGCTTCTGTGGCGACTGACGCTGTGCTTCATTGTGTCAGCCTGGGAATGACCAAAATCCAACAACAAACAATGAGACAAACGTGAGCTGAACCCGTCTCTGATCCATGCACTGTCTCGCCATACATGCTTGGTCTGTCGTGCTGTGCAGGAATCTAAAGAGCTCCGAGAACCAGGCAAAGCTGAATGTTGGAATACGCGATCACTTTGGTCAATGTCCAGTGCAAGTGCAAGGCGCTGTGCGTATGCCTCTAGCTCAGCTTCAGGATCCGCCCGATTGAGGAACGCAGACTTGTACAGTGGCGCATTTGTTCCACTACCGAGCATCCTACCTCTTCCAGTGGAGACGGCTACCACTGTATCGCTTACTGCAGAAGGCCCTCCGACGTTCCAGACCGCGCCAGCACTGACCTGGCGAACGGCCAGGGGAACCGAACCTCGTCGGACATGGACATTTCTCCTGTTGGCGCTAGCCCTTCCTGAAATCATAGAATGTGCCTCTCGGAGCCCGCGCAATTCTTCATTCATTCGACCGCTCCGACGTAGTCGACGACTGAAGGCGTCTATGTTTGTATGAGTACCTTGAGTAGCCGCCTGGTCCTTCTTTCGGCGTTCTGCAGGACTGTTGAGTTCAAAGCTTTCTCGGGCGACGGCAGGTGGTCGACGGTAGGCAATGAAGCGATCCGGTGTACCTGTTTGACTATAATGCGGTGATGAAAGCAGGCTGTCTCGGACCATAGATTGGCTGGACCGTAAGGGAGAACCGGCACATCGTAAAGACAATCGGCGCAATTTATTCAGTGGCACACTCTTCTCCGAATCCTGATCAATACAAGTCGAGCTGGGTAGGTTTAGGTCGTCCTGAGTGATATGTGCCTGACCAGGTCTCGGTGGCGGAGATGGTGTACAGCGGATATTGTCGACTAAGCTGTCTGAAGAAATGCGGTCACTGCCCCTTCGCTCGTTTGAAGGTGACGTGCCTCGAGCTGGACTTAAAATGTGGGTTCTGTTTGAGCGAAGTACCTCTTCACTATATATAGAGTGTGTATCTGGCACAGGTGGAGAATGAGTGTATGCGATAGCGAAAGAAGGAGAGACACGTGAAGGTGGATCAGTTGCAGTAAGTCGCTTTGATCCGACAAATGGATTATCATCTGACAGCACTGATAGAGAACCGCAATTAGTTGGACTGAGGGCTGGAATGGAGAGTGACTCGAGACAAGAAGTGAACTTGGACTTCCTAGGGGAAGATGGCTGGGCCAGATGAATGTTGCGAGTGGCACTGTTAATGTCCCGGAAGAAGAGACAGCTGCGACTTTTGCGAGGCGACTCAGGTGTTCTTGGTGACGGCCAGTCTTCGGTGCTGACAGTCTTCGTCGGTGATAGCGGTGGTGTGAGGTAGCCAGGGTTTAATGAAGATACGTCATCACCAGCGTCGTTCATGTTGAGCAGCTTGGATCAAGATGAGTGAACTGAAGAGTTGGCGTGGCTAACCTCAGCGCATGTAGGGCTGCCGGAAGGAGAGTAGGCGACAGACTGGATGTACCGACACTTTCGCTGTTGGGTTAGTAATGATAATAATGCTGGGACTTGTGAGGATGTCGAGAGGTAGGTGTAGGTTGGACAAGTGTGTTGGAGCTTTGACAGTGGTAATTTCCGCGAGTAGTGGCGTGGGGGTAGGAGGCCCACGCGCGCAAGTGAGTGTGAGTAAGTAGTGGGGCAACATCCCACCCGAGGCTCCAACTCGGGGGAACTGCGAACTTGCGCGTTGCTCCAGCGCTCGAACCTCTCCCCGGCAATGGCAAGCGTAAGTAGACATGTCACTAGCCTGCTAGAATACGAATCTAATAGGCACAGCACGGTGTATCACGCGGTACGGGCCCTGTCGTGCGCTCGGAGGAGGCTCGACAGAAGGAGCTTGAGCAGATCGCACATTACAAAGAACTAGTAGATTTGGTCAACACAAAGGTGCTTGATGGCGCCTGGCAATGCCTGGAGAAAGCTAACGCTGGACTCTTCAGATCTCCGAAAAGCAATATACAATCGAAGTGCTTGGCCTGGTTACAAAGCTGCTGAACGAGAACCCCGAATACTACACAATATGGAACCACCGCAGACGCGTCATCATGTCCCTGGTGGCCGCAGACACACCCGCAAAATCTCCACATGATCTGTTGGAGGATGATTTACACCTCACGTTTGTGTTGCTGCGAAAGTTTCCCAAGTGCTACTGGATATGGAACCATCGCAACTGGCTTTTGCGCCAGGGGGAGACCTTGATGGGTGCAGAAGCAGCGCATAAGCTCTGGTTGGGAGAGTTACAACTCATAAATAAGATGCTGCATGCAGACAGTCGAAATTTCCATGCCTGGAGCTATAGACGTATTGCAGTATCCGAAATCGAGCGCTTAGTGGCATCCCCTGAGACTAAAACGACTGAGGAAACTCCCAAGAGCCTCTCTGAGTCCGAGTTTGAATATACCACAAAGATGATCAAGACCAATCTCTCCAACTTTTCTGCTTGGCACAATCGCAGCCAGCTCATACCCAAGATCCTCCACGAGCGCAACGCAGACTCCAAGGCGCGCCGCGCTTTCCTTGATTCAGAACTATCTTTGATATGCGAGGCCATCAACACTGACCCATTCGATCAATCCATATGGTTTTACCACCAGTACCTTCTCTCCGTCATATCTCCCTCTTGTCCACCGAATCGGCTGGTTGTTCAAGACCTGACTGATGGCGAGCGGCAAAAGTACTACGATAACGAGATGGGGTATATACGAGAGATTTTGGAGGACGAGGTGGATTGCAAATGGATATATGAGGCGCTCCTCGGGCTCGCAGAGGTGTATTTGGAGGTCGACGCTGATACAAAGTCGTTCACAACAAAGGACATGAGGTCATGGCTAGACGAGCTGAAGCGGTTGGATCCGTTGCGGCGGGGACGGTGGGATGATTTACAGGGAAGGCTTAGTCTCTGAGTGCCGCTGGTCCATGAAAGGTGAGAATCATCAGGGTTTGCCCTTTGTTTCTTCGTTGCTGTTCTTCAGGGGTAGTGCCTCCTTCTTCGGATCCCTTTTCCAAGCCCACAATCCCAGCATGTTCGACCAGGAGTTGTCAGGTGATGCGGAGGCAATAGCTTCTTCCTGCTTAGCTTGAACTTGGCGTTGAGTTGCAGATACCGCCGTGCTGGTTGTCGCAGGTGTAGGGTTGGCACTGCTCGCAGCAGCAGCAGCGGCAGCTAATTCTCTGATACGAGCGCATGTAAGTGGACGTGTGAGAGTGCGTTCAGAGACTGTGCGTACTGTTGGTACTCGTCATTCATCCGTGCTAGCCGTTGTTTCTTGAACTCTCCATCGAAAGTAGCCACTCCAATTGATACACCAACTATCGTTGCCAAAGCAATAGGGAGGATGCGTCCGGCCATTTTTTGTTAGCTGCTTGTTCAATGGAGCTGTTCTGTCAAGGCGGAGTTCTGTGACCGAAGCATTCCCGCGGGGAAAAGTTTGGCGTTCTTATCTCAGCTAGCTTCGACAGCGACCAAGAGCTATTCTGTTATTGGTAGAGACGCTTATGGACTTAAGCCTAAAAAAGAATCGCCTCGCTTCTAATACCTGGATGAGTTTAATTTCACCCTGATGTTTGATTTCATTCTGAGTAAAATACTGTGATAGGGATTATTAGTAGTAGCAACACACTACTGCTTCTGATTTCGAGCTAGATCTTACTTCTCATTTTGTTCAAAGTTTTGTTCCAGATTTTATAGGACAACGGATAGGAACTGGGAGTAATAGTAATCGCGCCACACACTGGCCTACGGTTGGCGTGTGGCGTGTGGTGCGGATAGCATATAACAAGTTAGACTCATTCCTTGTTTATTACTGTCTAGTACGGAGGTGACTGTCAAAAGTTCTTGCTGACAGGGGTGCATTGATTACCGCCGAAAATAGGGCCGAAGCTATGTAGATCGGTCCCGCCGCCCCTCTTTGTACTCATTGCCACCTTCAAGTTTAATGATTTCTTGAATATGAAACGGAATACGCTCTATCCAAGCTTGAATTTGGTGTTGAGGTAGCTCATCCCAGTACTGTTGCCATACTTTTGTCCCTTCCGCCCGACTTTTTGGTGCGCCTCTTCGTGTTGTTTTTCTTTTGAGCCATGGCCAGGCTGCTTCAATAGCGTTGAGATCAGGTGAATTGCCTGGCCATGGGAGCTGCTCCACCTCAGCGTTTCGGTATATAGTTCTTTGAGCGTGGTGGGTATGCGAAGGTGCCCTATCTTCTTAAACAAAGACACGTGGTCTCTCTTTTTGGCACTCCTTTGCGAAGGGAATTAGCTTTGGGATAAGAACTTGAGTCTAGTAACGCCACCAATCAATGCCACCACGACTGCTCTCACGAGCTAGCTTACCCGTCTCTTTTACCCATCTCCATTGTGGAACTCTGCCAGGCTTGTTACGTAATCCAAGCCTCTTTATGCCTGTTGTAAGCTCCCACGCCTCTCTCATGAGAGGCTCTAGAGCCTTATTCAACTCTTCAATCTGGAGAGCGGCGTCTCTCTTCTCCTGCGCAGTCTCAGGCCTCCAGACATGGCAAGGACCTTTGTAGTCGTACGTGAAGCAGCCCCAGAACATAAATTCAGAGTAGCCCTTCCACCGCTCTCAGATAACACTTTTGGTAAAGACTTCATCCAGGCGTCGCCACACACGATAGCCACCGCGACGGTGGTTGAGAACAACAGAAGTCTCATCTGACCAAATAACGTTCTTCCAATCTTCAAGTGTCCAATCTTTATAGGCAAGACACCACTCAAGTCTTTCCTGTCTCATCTTCGTCGTCAACCCAGGCTTCCTCGTCGGCTTCGTCTTGTTGTAACCGGCTGCTCGAAGGACTCTCCATACGGTGGACGACGAGACGTTGTAGCCGTGAACACTAAGATCACCAGCAATATCAGCGCAGCTCTTCTCTCTCCCATACCTATCGCGGCGTACGTTCTTAAGAGTAGCGTCGTGTATTTCTTCTTGTTTACGAGGGCGGCCTGCGCGCGGGGCATCTTCAAGGTACTGCGGAAGGATCTTAATTAGGCGTGCGTTAGGCTCAAAGCCTCGCTAGCAGGCTCTACCATAAATTAAGTCAATCGTACGCGGCGATATGCCTATCATTTCTGCAATTTCGCGTGTAGATTTGCCACCAAAAGGTGACTTCAATGCAACAATAAAAGAGCGGGTCAATATATCCGTATTTAGAGCCATAGTAGATCAAAAACACTCAAAAAAATAAGTATACAAGCTATCGCCAGCTTCAAAAAATTAGTGTGGGCGCCAAGAATAGTCGGGCCGATAGGCTGGCGGCTTAGCGTGGCGCTAGCAAGAACTTTTGACAGTCACCTCCGTATAATCTCGGTCTTCCTTCGCACCGTATAGGCTATGACCTGATATTGTATAGGGGTAGGTGTGCACACCACTCTAATCTTCGTCAGCACTAGGCTATAGAGCCGAAATAGGTGTCAGGGTAAAGTGTGATAGACCACCGCCCTTCACGCCGAGGCTTTGCCTTAATATGAATTACTGGATCATACGGTGAATGCGAGGGTTGGCCAAGCGAGACGATCTGCATCTCTGATAGTCCTGTGCACTACCTTGTAGTACACGGATAGCGTATTCACTCGTACGCCTAGCTCCGTTAGCCTGTTCATCACGTAAAATTAGATCATGCTCAATCGCATCTCGAGCTAGCACTTCATTCAAATGCCGCAAAAAAGCGAAACAATGTATATAAAAGAGGCTGCAAGTTCACTCGTTCCTGAGTACATTTGTTGCCAACAGTTGTTAGACTCTACTTCTATATCATCATCCGCGCAAAGGCTATTCGCAAGCAAGCTACAAATTCTTATCAAAAATGAAGTTCTCAACTATTCTACTAGCACTCAGTGCCGCTGCTACCGCCACTGCCTATGGCTCTGTATGTCACACAATCCTATACCCTTCCCTAATCCTACAATTGTGCTAACATGAGGACAATAGATGGGAGACTGCCTTAAAATCGGACAGTGCCCCAAAGGATGTCAATGCACTTTAGGGAGTGTAGCGGGGCCCTGTGCTGCGTATGGCTGCATACCATGATGCGTAACCAATATGAGGCGATGAATGCTGTTTGAATGCGGCGGCGGGTGCTATGTACTTGGAAACAATATACAAAATGAATCAAATATTTTTGAACTAGCCATAACTATATTACTATCAATACTTGTAAAGATGGCTAGCGTTGGGAGCGTAGCTACGAGTACATTTGTATAGCTTGACTAATGCTCAAGCCTAAGCCTGCAAACATGACGTTCTTCCGCCCGCTAAGTAGACAAACGCGCTAGGCAAGGCACGGGACGACGCGCCATGTCTTCCATCTACCCACCCACATCGAATCGCAGCACGATATGCAGGCGAGCCCAAATGTCCAAATGGCGACAGAAAGGATTTGTCCAGGACTCGGATGAAGAGGAGGATGAGTCTCAGCTTGAGAGCCAGGGCTCTATTCCTAACAATGGCTTAAGTGGACGCGTCGAGCGCGTCGGAGATGACGTTGAGCAGGTGCAAAAAGTCGATGCATCCTATGGAGAAACTGTCGACGCTGCCGCGGATCTTGAAAGGTCAATATTAAAGGAGACGAATACAATAACGCCGACGAAACGCACCTCGCCCCGACGTCCTACACCTTCTCCATTTACGCCCACGTCGACGCATACCCCCAGACCGCAGCCATCAGAGAGTCCAGACCCGCTTCAAGCCTCTGCAACCCCCAAAACTCGGCGAATTATTCAACGTCCATCATCTCACCCGCGTTCCGAATCGCCAACTCAACTACACAATAACGTTGCGGAGCCATCACAGGGTGCTCGGAACTCGGACATACCACGAGAACCAACGTCCGCAAGCCATACCAAAGAATCCACAAACCATTCTCATGTTCTAAACGAGTTTGGAATTGTGCCCTTGTCGGACGGTTCTGAAGATGACGAGCTTTCAGACCCACCTACGGACCTGGAGTCGCCACCGCCAACCTTTCCCATACCTCATAGACGGACGACAGTCCAGGTTCTCATACCCTCCTCGACTGCTTTACAGCGGCAAATTGTGGATGAAAGGGCAAGACGCGACTTCCGCCAACGAAAACCGATTCAGTTGCATCCCTATGCATTGGAGGGTGAAATGTATCGCAGGGAAGTCCAAAGCAGAGGTCTCAAACCTGTACGCAGGGAAAGGTCGCATTCGCCTCAAAGCCGTCGGAGACAGCAAAATGATGAATCGCAAGAGCAAGAATTTAATCCCGACGAGGAACCCACAAGCAGCCCCCCAGATGTTGAGATAAATGTGTCTACTCCCACCGTTTCACGATTGAAGACGGTGGGACAGGGTACAGATTCAATCCGTCGACCTACTTCCGAACCTACTAGACGCCTTCCGTCTACACAGCTCCGCCACCCTCACGCAGCAAAACGGAGAAAGCTCAATATCTCATCGACACAGGGCGCTGAGCCACCAACAAGCATATTCGAAAACCCCAGTATGCCGCGCGACTTGTGGTCTATACCTCCAAATTCTCCTCCCTATTCAAGTAGTCCACCACGGAACGGGAACGCTTCAGTTCGCCATGCAGGTATATTGCGTGCGACAACGCCAGCTCCCAACTTGCCAACCCCCTCTACCTCGTCAGTCATGCAAGAGGACCCTAATTCTTTATTGGATTCAGACTCCGATGCTGCACCGCGCAGTGTGCAAAGACCTAGTAGCGGGCTTCGGCGGCCAGTAAGAGTGGTCCTAACGGACAGCTCATCGTCTGCAGCCGATTCTACCAGTGAAGCAGAGCAGAGTGATAATGAGTTGAAACATGTAGGCAGAAAGATCAAGGGTGTTTTGCCCGCTTCTTGGCTACGATTCGATCGGCAAACTCAAGAGCGACGGAGAGCACAGCAGAGAGAGCGAGAAAGAGTGCGTGCAAATATAGCCTTATCCCCCGAACCTACTGCACCTGTGCGCGGAGTCGCTCAACGGATCACGAAACCTCCAGGTCGACCTCGACCGTCCTCACTTTCTAATACTTCATTGAGGGACCCCGTCGTCATATCCGATGGGTCCGAAGACGAATTAAGGGCCCCTGTCTCACGCCCTATGCAGAGTGCGCAGGACTCTGTAGCTAATGCTTCGACGTTAGCTAAGATGTTCGACAATCGTTACGCTGATGACGACAACTTGTCGGACATGGAGCACGACGTCTTGCATCTACCTACACTCGGAGGGACTGGCCGGAAGAGACAGAGTAAGCTGACCGACGCCTTTGGGAAAGCAAAGAAGGCAAAGTCGTCTGATGGCCTGGCAAGGACCTTGGGTTATGGAAAGCGATCTTCTGGTGGCCAGCCCGGAAAGAAGAAGCGTGCCCATTCTCGGATAATGCGCCGACCTTCACCACCAGCAATGAGCGTCGTTGATGTTGTTCACTCGCCATCTGAACGAAGCGCCAATGTACCACAGTTCCTCAGAGTAGCTAGGCGACAGGCACTTCGAAGGCCTGATCTTGCCCGTCAAAGCCTGCATGACAAGCAAATACGACTACACAATGCCGAGGATACCAAGGATGCCAACATCACTCTTCAGCAGTGGCAACAAGGCGCTTTGAAGCCAAACCCAGGTGTTACTTCACATGAACGAAAGCATGGACACGCTTTGGTTGACAAGAACGACAATCAGCAGAATGCAGAGCAGCAGTCTGTCAATGATGTGAGATCTGCCAACGATCTTGATGGACAATCAGAAGCCATGACAGAGGTTTCGCGTTCACGGAAAAGTGGAAATATGCCTCCTGGCCTTCACATCTTCCAACGCTCTTCTACCAAAGAGACGAGACCTAGACGACAAGGAAAGAAAACTTTGCAAACTAGCAGCCATCGCGGACGTCAAGGAATGGAGAGGCCGTTGCCTTTTAGAACTGCACAGCTAGAAGGCGACGAGAATGACTTTGGCCGTGACCATAGGAAGATTGCATTTGAGAAAGGTTTACTATATGTCGACCAGCAGTTCAACAAGCAATTGCCCAATGAGCACCGTCTTTTCAATCCGCAATTGGCTCGTTACCTTGCAGATGATAGTCCTGAACAAACAATACTTCCCTCTGTAACTGATGCTGCGGAACCTGCGGCAGAAGCACCAAGCGAATCTATATCTACAGCCAAGAGACGCCTTAAACGGAAGGTTCGAGCGCAAAGAATCGACGTGGATGCACGAGAGTTTCGTCAACCGAGCGAGCCAGCTGTACAAGAAGTACTGAGGACGATCGATGTCGTTCAAGAACAAGAACCTAACCCGGAGCAGGGCCTTCCTGTGCTTCATGGTCTGGGCCCATATGGTACCCGATATCCCATCACTTTCGACATATACTCGTTGGCATCTGAGACATACTTCCACTCATCTACCTTGATCGGATCTGATGAATTCAGCCGAGCTCTTAGCATCGGGGAGCCAGAGGGTCGCGATCTTGACGAAGCTGCTGGATATTCTGTCATTACCCATGGGAACAAGTCCTTCCGATGCGGTCCATGGAATGATGAGACATTCTCGAATTTGCATGATTTGGTTGGGGATGTGTCAGCATTCATGGTAACCCAACCTTCCAGTCCGAATACGTCAACGGCAAACCACGACAGTGGCATGCATCCAGCTCGGTTAGTGCGGTCACTTATCACCTACATATCCGATCATCTTAGCTTCCTGGATCCTATTGATCGAAAAGATTACGTGGTCAAAGCAGCGCGATTATGCCAAACCTTGTTTGATGGCGCATCAGCAATTGATGTTACTGGTGGCCATGGGATGGGTTATGCTGGATGTGCCATGCACACTATGACATACCTACTAGTTCTCAGCCTCCAAGTAAACCACATCGCCCAGCATCCGACTGTAGACGAAGGCAGTCGCTTCGAAACCCTGACGCTAGTAAAGAATGTCTCAAAGGCCATTGTCTCTCGCTTGGTACAACAAGGTATCCCGAGCTTGGGATACTTTCTTGAGCAGAACCAACGACACTCTATTCGCGAGAAGGGCGTGCAAGACAGTGAAATCTTCGTGGAGAGTACGGTTGTCTGCATGCACGTTTTAGAGAGGTTAAACATGCGGTCATGTGGCTTTTGGGACCTTGTCAGCCAAGAGCTCAGCTCCAAAGTCTCTAGTGCCACGCATCTTTCTACTTTCGAAACAACGTGGGCTACACTCTTTACCTTCCTCCCGTTTAGCGAAATTGATGTTTCTGGTATCCCGCTAAGGAGTCGAAGAGAGACTTTCCAAAACGACAATTGGGCGTGTATTCGAGACGCTCTCCGGCAATTGTTTGAGCTGTACCCGAGTACGTACAGGAAGCATAGTGCATCACTTAACGACTACGTCCGGGCCAGCCTTGTGCGATGTCACAGGCTTGTGACACATTGGCATTGGAGACGTCCGGAGTTGATGCTCAACGCAGCTCTTGACTTCTTCGGTAAGAACGGTCTCAAGGGTCTTCGACGCGAGACAAACAATGGGTCTGTTCCCTTTCTGGATAATCTCGCCATAGACCCGCCATTGACAGTCGAACCGAATGAGTATTCATTCCACATAGCGCTAAAGTGCCTTGCGTTGGGCCTTCGGGGTATGAAAAATGATTATCCCGAAAAGAAGATACGCAGCTTTGTCTTTCGGTGTTTGCCCAACCATGGTCGGGCATATCCGAAAGATCAGCCCCTTGATGAAGAGAGTCTGGCGGCACTGCGCAATCACCATGACTTGTTATCCACCCTTTATTGGGGCGCACCGCCAGCTTGTCGACCGAAGCTAGATCACGTGCGTGATCTTGTTAATCACGAGAGCTCTCATCGGGAGGCTTGCAGACTGAGCGTTCGTGCCTGGGCCAACCTTGCTACTTTCCAACTATCCACCGAAGAGCCTTACACATCTGCAAAGCCATTCGCAATCTGGCATAAGGATATCATGCATCAGACGCTGAGGCAGTACAAACTCGCAAAAACTGAAGCCGACGACTTTCTCAAGTCAGGTGTTACCGACAATGCCACAGACATCTCAGCAGTCATGGTTCGTCAAACAATGGAGAGAAACCAGGAACAGGTGATTGCAACTCTGCGAGATTGCATTTCGGGCATGAGCAAGATCATTCAATATGCAAAGAAGCAGTCGTGTCTGAGGGATTTCCTGATCGACTCTGAAATCATGCATCTACTCGAACTTCCTCACCTGGAAGATCATCGTCTCATCAAGGTCATACACGATACACTCAAAGTCCTGCAAGACTATGCGAGATTACAGAAAACGCAATCGAGCAAGGAGGTAAGCCAACAGACCAGCGAGGATAGCCAAGATTATGGTGACTTCCCGGACATGGACGATCTAGACGACATGGATCTAGATGTCCCAGGGAAACAAGCTCAACAGTCTGGTCTCGACTTCATCCAGACACCACTCTGGCATCTGCTTTCGAATGCATTCGGTGCGGAAACTGCACCAGACGACATTCTGCTTAAGGACTGCGTCGATACCTGGGTTTGCATTGCTGAGGGTCAGGTGGCATCGGGTGCGCGAGCTTGGTCTTACTACCTTGACTCTTTTAGCCAACTATCGTGGAAACAACTACGGCAAACGGAGCAGACGCGCAAATTTGGTCCCTACTTCATGGCTGCTCTCATCGACTGCGACGCGACTGCCTACAGAGAACATCGAAACGAGTTCCTCCAATCTCTGATGGTATGTCTGGTGGAGCGAGAGTCCATGCTCAGGTTCCAGCATCGACTACTGCATGCTATCGCAAAAGCAGATGAGTACCACCCACTCATGCAAAACTTACCCTTCTTCCGCGATCTGGAAACTGGTGCATGGGACATCAACCCAGACTCCCTTCGCACGCGGCGCCTGGCACTGATTTCGAGCCTCTTGTCCAACATGCGAGACAGTGTCCATGCAGCCAGCCGTGACGAGCCTGCGCGTACCTCTGAAACGAAGAGACTATATGCTTCCATGCTCAGAGACTTCATGGCCTCTATGAAGTACAACTACCAGCAGCTTAGCCAGGGGACGACAGTCACTGGTGCATACGTCGAGTTTGTTCAGAAGATAGTCCAGTTCCTGAAGCAGTATACCAGCGATATACTGCCAGTGCTATCTTTTTTCACAGACTCGGTTGCCTTCCCGCTCCCTGCAGGAGATCCAACTTACGTTGTCGCCCGCCTGTGCGGATACGCACCAAAATTGTCTGAGTCTGGAACAGCAAAGCAGCTGTCGGTCTTTATGCAAACTGTAGCGCAGCAGGCTGCTGCCGACAACCAGCAAGCCTATTTGGTGAATCAGCTCACCACTGCGCTCTCCACTGATGAAGCGCCCACAGCTGACAGGATGGCCCTGCGAGCTGTACTACTGCAAGTCGTCTTCCCAGCATACCTTGAAGAAACATTTTCATCCCTGACTGCATTTGTTATCGCTCGACCAATGCTACAAGCACTACCATCCATCCTCGACACGACGCTCTTCGATCTACGCGTCACGCACACAGACAATCTGTGCTCAATCACCAGCTGCATCGTATCGATATCGCACGCCTTCATCCGCGGCACAGAACAACTCAAAGATAACCACCACCTCCTCCAGCATCCACACGTACTCTCTGCGCTCAACTATATGCTCCAAGCAATGACGTCTATCCTCGCACCATTGGAGTACATATGCAGCCGCACACTGCCCACTACCGACGCTCCTCCACTCGTCACATACGTCGACCAACTCATGACATACATCACCGCATTACTACACAACACCACACCGGACACCATACCCTCATACCCGTCCGACGCTCATGCCGCGCCCCCAGACAACCAGCATGCCAGCCTCCTTGCCTTTTGTCGCCGCGGCCTAGAAGAAGGCCTGAAAACCAACTGGAGCGAAAGTGCAGGAACACTGTGGTTCGGGCTTGGACATGCCCGCCGCGAAGTTTTTCTTGATATCAGCAGCGTGGAGGAAGAGAGGCACAGATTTGAACTGGGTGTGCAGCGTTTCCGCAAGGTTCTTGATGACGTGTATGAATGTGAAGAGCATTATGGTGGTCATGAGACACATGAGGGGTATGATGTTGTTGTTTAATTGTTGTCGAAGAAAAGTAGCGTTCGCAGAATGCATATTCGCATTGTTTTAAAGCAATACATTTGGTAGATAGATGTATGAATGTGTAACGTCGAGTTGCTGTCTTCTCCCATATACAGGGGCTTGTTGCCTTGTTCGGGATGTCAATACTAACGACTGCCGCTATTTCCCCAGCAATGTTGGCACAAATATCATCACCATAAGCAGTTGAGTTTCCCAATAGTGTTCATTTCGCTATCTAAAGTACCTTGTTCGTACAATCAGAGGTACCAGCTAACATAACAGCTGCTTCATGTACTTGAAAGTTGGGCTTTTCACTCCAATCACAGCATCTTCTTTGCAGGTGTACCCAAGTTCACTTTCAACTCCGTGATCATATACCAGCCACCTCTCGCTCCTCAGCTTCCTTTTCGAGCCGTGCAATGGTACGTGCAAGATGGGATGCGGTGTCTTTCTTGACAGCACGACGGATGGTATCAATGTGGCTGAGTTGTGGGCCGAAAGGGTCACCACCTTGCAAGTCCTCTTCATGGCCTCCGGAAACAATATTAGAGGGTTTTGCACCCATCTCAGATTGGTTGGAGTTGCCAGGTTCCACAGTAGAAGCTTTCTTCTTCCTGTTCTTTCTCTTTTTCTTCTTTTTGGGAGTCTCAATAGGTGCAGTGTCGGAATTGGTGGCAGTCGTTCCAGTGTACGTGCCTTGGGTAGTATCTGCAGTACCAGTGGCATCATTGGGAACAGAGGAATTATTAGTTGGTGCGCTAGGGGCTTCTGCGGCCAGTGTTGAAACAGACGAAGTCCGCGAGAGATATTGGCCGGGGATTTTACTCACTTCAAAAGTTAGTCATAGTTTCGCTAATTTGAAGAGCTGCTGGACTTACTATGCTGTGGAGAGCTTGGATAGCTTGCAGTTGGTGTTGCTCCAGTGGGTAGAGATTGGGCTGACACGATGACCCAGACTGCTTCGCAGTCTGGCTTCTGAGTTGTTGTGGTAGGAGAATCGTCGCGAGGATTATCTACTTCCCGATCAGGGTGGGTTTTGAGGAAGACAACCTCCTGTGCAACAGTGGAAGTAGGTCCCGACAGGGGAGAACGGGAGTTCTTTTTGACTCCGGAGGCCTCCTCAGCTTTTACTTTGTCCCCGGCTTGAGTTACCGAGGAAACATCCTCGGGAGTGTCTCGTGCAGGTCTGTTCATCTCTTCAGCACGGGTTTCCTTCTTCTGGTTCTCCGTGCTAGGGTCGGCAGGCTGAGCCTTGGGCTTGGTTTTGGACTTCTTCATCTCATGAATACGTTCCTCTGTGTTCGTCATGGATACCTCCTGATCGGAAGATGCATCTACAGCCATGCTTGAAGGGCCCGGGCTGACAGAGGCCTCATCTTTTGCCTGGAAGTCCACGTCTTTCTTCGCTTTCTTTGAGCATGCAACCTTGCTGGCCTTGTCGGCTTTGGCCTTGGCGATTCTGTCAGCTTCTTCTTTCTTCTGTTGCTTTCTCTTGATTTCTCTCTCCTTCTTTGCCTGGGCCTTGTTCTTCGTCGCGAACGGGTGCAGAGATTGCATGTGCTGGGCTCCACCCTTCTTGGTCATATCGATGGGAGCCGACATCATTGCATCCTTTGTCGCAGAACTGGCCTCTTCGTGTGCTGCAACTGAAGCTACTGGGCTATCCTGTTGATAGTTATCTTCGGGTTTGGCGTCTTCCGGCTTAGCCTCCGCGTCTGAAGATGCAGGCGCTGGTTCTTCGGGCTGTGTGTACAATGCTCGATCAGTGTCCAAGTCGAGCTCTTCAGCTACGATCGAGACTACGACCGGAGATTCTGGGCTCTCTTGTATATGTCAGCAATCGCTAATCATTTGGGACGTTGGGATGGTCGTACCTTGGTTTGCAGATACGCCTTCGTCCCGAACTTCTGCTTCTGTCTCCACTTGTATTGCCTCAGGCTGCACTTCTGGAGCGGAGTGAAAACTGTTGTCATTCTTCCCTTCATCATCAGAGGTCTGCTCTCCAGCCGTCAATGGTGGTGCATCCTCCACGAATAGTTGAGGGAGATTGTCATCATCCTCTTTGTCTGCTTGAGTAGCTGATGTAGTACTAGGAATATCCTGTGCAACTGGTGACGGCGTTTTCTCAAGACAAACCTCCGGGTCAAAATGGTCAGTTTGAGGGAGAGTCACAATAAGTAGCTCTCCTTTGTCTTTCGGATCATCTGATTGGGTAGGCTGTTCGCCCGGCTGCGCATCCAACTCTTGCCCATCATCTGGGGCATGACCAACATCTAGCATAGTATTCGTCGCTAATACAACCTGGACTTCAGTTGAAGATGTGTCGTCGACATTTGCATCAGCTGCTCCATTGTCCTGATGCTCTCTTATGGAAGTTGTTGGGAAGACATCGATTGTCAGCTTGCCATCAGCGTTTGCTTTGTCACTTACAGAGCCCTCTTTCCCAGCCGGCGAATCACGCTTGTTTTTGCCTTTGCCTTTCTTGGCTGGTGACTTTTGAGGGCGCTTTGACTTCTCATGTTCAGGACTTCCAGCCTCTAACTGACGCATGGTTTCTGATTGCGCAGGAGGCTTCTTCGGCAGGCCGCTTCTAGCATCCTGAGGAGAATATAGAACCATTCCACCTGTGGTATCCTTTGTGTCATTGAAATCGCGAGCATCTTTCTTCTCATCAAAGGATATGTTTGTAACGACACGAGTATGGCTGTTAGTCGCCTGACCAGCGCGTGAGTGGTCAAAGAATGCTGTTACAGGCAACTCTTTCTGATAGAACCTCCTTGGTACTGAAATCGCGGGCCTAACTTCACCGTTTCTCAGCCGAGGATTTAGGTGGATGATTGTCAGAGCAGTTTTCGTATCTGAGTGTGATGCAAATCTGCTGTTGTTAGTTGATTCGTGATGAAAAACAGTTGAGTGATAGGCTTACGTAGCGAAAGCATGGAAAGGCCCTTTTGTCGCATTGCTCCTCAGGGAAATTGAGACAGAAGTTATCTTGACCATCTGTTCGAACATCTGCAAAAGCTCACTTTCCAGAACATCATGCGGCAGGTCTCCAATCCAAAGCTCGTTGACTGTAGCGTTCTTGGGCCCAATCCATGTATGACCACAGCCGAAGACGGTGTCGCCAGTGATATTTGGATCATCCTCTGACACACGACGTCTAGCGCTGAACTCTGTGTAGTGAGAGGTCGACGAAGACATTGGATTGTAACTGTTGTATGCTGGACGACCACCCGAGCTAGACATCTTGCGACCTCGGTTCTGTGGAGCCACGAAACCGCCCGGTCCCCCCTTCCTTGTCGCATCGTTGTACCCTTGCACGCTGCTAAACTTGCGATTGGTGCCACTATACGGGTCAAAGAGTTGGTTGGTGTTTGCATAGTTGAGACGGCGAGACATTGGTGCGCGAGATTCTACTACCTGTGCGCTCATTTGGCCTTGGAAGTGCATGTTTGTCATGTCGCCCATCAACATTGCGTGCGGCCCTCGTGGTTGATTGATGTAAGGTGGCGGCATCTGCAATGTCCGAGTAGCATCTGGCTGATAACCCATGTGTGCTCGCGATGCTATTACGGGATCCACAGACTGAATGGGATATCCTGGCTGAGGCATCATCGGTGGTCCTAGAACATAGGAGCCCATTGCTGAGCCGGGCATCATTTGCGGAGCCATCTGTGGGCCCATAGGCATATGGGTTGGAACGTATTGAGGTTGCATGCCGGTCACTGGAACGGGCTTTTGTCGCGAAAACGACCCAGAGACCATGCGGCTTTCGTTCTCAACCCTTCCTTTTGTTTGGCCATATGATCCAGATCCAAGGTTGCGATTACCTCTATGCAGATTGGAGGCATGCAGGCGGGTGTTAGGAGACGCCGTAGGTGGCCCCACCGTTGACTCTATACCACTGGTCCTTGGGTGAACTTGATCACCTGGTTGCTGCGATACACGCGGTACAATGTGCTGTGTGTGAGGCTGTGATTTTGTTTGATTCGGCGGGGTAAAGGCTGCGATGGTCGAGCGAGCTAGATCACCCGAGGCAGAGGGTACTATCGATGCGGTTAGATATCCCGATCTTCTTCGCCTGTGTTTACGGTTCTTCTTACCGGCTTTCTTGACATCAGATGCAGGAGCCCTGGCGAGAGATTCCGCTGCCTCGTTTGTGTCTTGCTCTGTGACAACAGAAAGCTGCCGAGTCTTTCTGACTTCCAATGCCGCGTTGTTTTTCTGATTGAAGTCGTTCCAATTGGAGATCAAAATGAAAGCGACATGCCAGAGGAACACGCGAGGAAAGGAAGCTGTCTCGCCAAACGTAAATATCTGATCGATGGCTGTGAGCGGATCGTTGAGATCGTAGACATTCCCGATATTGATGCCTGTAAAGTCGAATCGCTCTGGGTGTATGCGCGCCCAATCCTTGGCAAATTTGTCTGCGGCATACCAAGTGTCGCGCATGATGAATTTGAGCATCTGCTCGCAGAATCTCCTGCCTTCTACGTGAAGATCCACGATGTCCCAAAGATCCTCCACGATCCAGCCTTGGTTAGGCAGTATACACAGGCACTGGTCTTTGAAATAATCAGCACCTATTATGTGTAATTTTCAAGGTGATGGACTCACTCTTGTACTTTGTCTGCCAGTACCTTGCTGCTTGCACTACAGTCGCGGGGTCGCTGATACTGCGTACGACGGGAGGCGCAAGGACTGGGCCTAGCGAACGGGGGGCTTGGGTACCAAGCTTGGTGGAGAAGAAGGCCTGCCGGGCACCTGGCGCGAACCTGGGGTCTCTAATCGCATGTTGAGGATCAAAGATGGGTTCAACCATGTTGACAGAAACTGTAGTCTGCTGGTCGGCATTCACAGTAACCGGCTCTTCAACAGTGGGTACTGTCGCTGGTTGAGAGGTAGCCTCTGCCATGACTAAACGATGTCGCAGATGCTATAGTAGAAAGCGTTTGCGTGGACGTGTTGCTGTGCGCTAGACAGCTGGACGGGGCTGGGTAAGAAAGAGAAGGGCATGCAGCGTGGAATTTCTGTAGGGGAAAGAGCAGTTGCAGTTGAGAGATGCGAGAGCGCAACAGAAAGCGGCGATCTCAGGTTTAGCAAAACTGAGTGCAAAGGTAGCGAGAATATTGGGGAAGCAGCGAGACTAGCAGAACAAATAAACGCTCGCTGCCGCTTCAGGTGGAAGGAGCAACCAGTCTTGGCGCCACAAGAAAGATGAGGTGAATGTGAGAGCAAAGCGCGCTTCATGCAGACGCTGACAAGAAATGGACGTAACATATAGGAAGCGATCACCGTACATATGAGAGTGAGGGGGCATTGGGACTGGGACACAATGAAAGCTACTCACTCACTCCTTGCAAGATTTCAAGAAAGGCTATTGAGAGGCATGTCTTCATATACATATGTATGAATCGGTTTTCAACTGTAAATGCAGACATGCCGCACCAGCTGCTGAGCAGTGCAGTCATGAGGTTGCAACAGTTCCTTCCAGATGTTGCTCCCCTGCTGCTCAGGCAAAGATACAACTTAATCCCATGTTCTCGGTTCAGTCTGGTCTCCTCTCTAGGCCTTGTCTGTTTCCTTTGGCACTGAGCGCACCAACTTCAGAATCTCGCTCTCGTTGTCACCCATGACTACCAATTGTTAGCATGACAATTACCTCCCATACTCCGAGCGAAGACGGGACAAACTCACCAACTTTCCCTTGATTCCAATCCACAACTAGCGGCCTTTGGAATGTCGCGCCATCGGCCTTCAGCCTTCGCATAGCATCATTCTCGTTTTGCGCTCCGCTAATCACTTTGCTTGCTGCACTTGGTCCGCCTAGATAGTCCAAGATGTTCTTGAGCTGGTCGGTGGTAGGTGGGGCTTCCGTTACATCGAGCTCGAATTCTGTGCGCTCAGCCTTATTTTGGGCTTGGTGAGAGGAGGCCTGGTCTTCCGTTGCATGTGCGACAGACTGCGCATTGGCTTGCTTGAGTAGGGTGAGGACGCGCGTGGATGCCTGGTTCGAGGGCGCGTGAAAGAGGGTCACGACATTCTTTGCGCCGTGCTAGAAAAACGGTCAGCAGGCAACAATTGATGATACTTGGAATGAAATTACCTCTCCGAATAGTCGCTTGAACATGCTTGCTGTGATTAGCTGTGCTGTTGAATTGGTGGTTGAATTGGTAGGTTGACAAGTGGAGTAGACAAGGTGCTCCGACAGCTTGAGGTGAGGTTCGGGTGTGACGTAGATCGGCCCGCTTGGGCCTGCCCCATATGCTGGAGCTCCGGCGGGAGATGTTATCGACAAGAGATCTTCGGTACAGCCGCCGCGACGCTCACTTTCTTTATCAGGGTCGCTGCAGCTGTCAATTTCATGCAGCGGGTATTTTAGGGGATGCATTCGGTCCATGCGTTATGGCTCTCAGACACCAGAGCAGAGTTTGGCGACCTGATATTCCGTGGCAACAGCCGGATAGAAGCTACCTAAAATATATTCAGAAAACCGCAAACGTATTCCAAGGTTGTCACAAAATGCATAAAAGTACACGTCACTGGCAACACTTCAACATGGGATCACAAGCAGCTAGATTTTGTGATGCAGCCGTACAAAAAGCCGAATATACATTTACGCCATGACATGCCCCCATCATCCCAAAGTGTGGGATCATGCTGCTATAAGGAACGCGCCGTGGCGACGTCCGTGATTCCCACTCCCTCTGATCCAGAGTCATAGCCGTGCTGAGGAAACCGAATTCATGACCATATTCTCTAGCTCATCGTGCTCGTTTCGTGCGCCCATCCTCTCGTGCTTGGCTTATGAGGTGGGGTTAGGGTTCATCTGGTATCCGTCAGTGCCTGCTCCTCGGGAAAATTTCCAATTCTACGGACCTTGCGCTTGCCACCGGTCATGGTGACGTTGACGAAACGGCGGGTGTATGTGAGCCTCTTCTTCGCGCGGCCCTTGGGGGTCTTCTTCTTCTCTTGGGGCTCAACCTGGGGGTGTGTTAGATTGGCTCCTGTGCTCCTAATCGTCCGGTCTGATCCCGTCGTAATTGCAATGTCCAAGTGCGACGTGTTACGTTCGGTCGGGACGGCGTGTCGAGATGGGCATGCTTACCTTGGGGGCTGGATGCTGTTAGCCGACGGTCATCTTCTCCTTGGTACGAGTCAAGACTTACTCTGAGACTTGACCTTTCCGGCACGAGCGAGGGATCCGTGAACCTTTCCCATGTTTGCGGTTGTTGAGTAGTCGAAGTTGTCTGTGTGGTGGCGAACTCCTGTTAGCAGGCTTTCTCCCTATTTCCAGACGTCGAGTGCGAGGGGGTGAAGGCTTGGTATCGCAAGGCTTCGAGACGGATGCAGCTGTGCTCGTTGGGGTTGACTGGATACGTACAGTTTGCGGGTGCGGTCGCTGGGTGTTCGATGACTGGACCGCGACGATGAGGTTCAAAATGCCTGTGTACGAGCGGCGCAGCGGATTAGCCGAGATCACGTGCGTCACTAGCGTCTAGCTGAACTCTCGACGCGGAAGTGCAGCGATTTACAGGTCTAGATACTGGTGTATGAATGATGCAGAGATAATTTAGCTACGGGGTGATGCTTGTACTGTATCAAGTCCAAGAAAACATACTTGTGGTGCTTGGAGCTGCGTATGGAGATGTACAACGACTTTCCCTTTTCTTCTCCAAAGATGATCAGATAAAATAATGCGGATAAGCCACGACAAAGTGGAACTGAATGCACATAATACGAACAGCTTCTGTCAGACTCCCTCCAACTACACCTGCACTGCATAAGATGCTGTGTGTGGGCTGCTTCGGGAATTCAAAGCTTGGGTTCCACACAGTTTCTTGATAACCTTGACAGGTACTACTGTTACCCGAACCGGAAACCCCCGCCGCGGTCGATCGCATGATGCGTCGCCGCTTCGCTTGGACGCGTCGCAGCTTGCCGTCAACCACTACTTGATTCCCAGCCTCCTGCTTCCATCTAGCACTTGCTTTATAAAGTCTAAATCATATTTCCAGCTACTCAGTTCCGCTCAATCTCAAAATGTATCTTTCGAATGCTCTTCTAGGCCTTATCAGCCTGGCCACAGCTACCCACGTCCCAGCACCACAGCACCTCTTCGCGAACCCATCTTCAGCTGATGGATCTGTCTACAAGATCCCAACCGTACATGAATCGGCTGTGCAAGCCCGGCGCATCATGCGCCTCGAAAACATTGGCACGCTTTCGACCGTCTTCCCCAGCCCGCCGCACAGCACCGAACAACGGCCGTCGGATGTCGGAGGCACGCCCATAGGTCTCATGGATTACTTCGGCGACTGCGAGCCGGACACGGGCAACCCGACCATCCTAGCCATCACCATCGCCACATCCTTTAAGAACGTAAATGCCGGGTCCAACATTACGCTGAGCATGCGCTGGCACCCTCAAGACAACAAATGGCGCAGTCCTGCGTCGCTTCCTCGCTTCTCGCTCATTGGCCACCTCGAAGACATTGATATGGACGCTATAGAGAAACTGGGCGTGACAGCCTGCTTTGTCAAGAAGCATCCGGACGCAGCATGGTGGTTGCCAGGCAACAGGATTCACGAGAGCAAGTGGGTGAGGCTAGTTGTTGACGAGATTTACTGGATCGGAGGCTTCGGAGACCGCGCATACATCGGTTGGATTCCGAAGGACGAGTGGTTCAGCGTCACCCAGGAAGAGATTGACAGCATTCAATTGCCTGGTGAGAAGAGCAGTGCATGGGGGACATTGGGCACCTGGTTTGGACTTGGTCAGCAAGAGCAGGGTATCTTTGAACTATAAGTGTGAGTATGGAGAATCACTCTAATGGGAATATGAAGTTGACGCAGGGGGTGGCTGATATTTTTTGCATCATGTCAGTCCAAGATGTAGTACTATCTGCACTTGATGTCCATCTGCACTCTTGTTGCAAGGTTTTGTATCTGTTCTGCAATCTCACTTTCACGTTGTTTGTTCCAAGCTGCAACTACACCCGTCTTATCACACGATCGCTAATCTGTTAAAGGTATGAATAGTTATACTTTAGTCTCTAGTGCTTCTAATTTCGGCATCCAAAAACACTCTTTATATATCATCCTTGCCTATGAAAAACGAATACAGTCTATCTCACTATCTCATCACCACATATCCCTCTTTTTCCTCTCCCAACCGGACACTAACTTGCCCTATCGCACTCTCATCTCCCTTGATCAATCTCAGTTCGTCCTCATACACACAAACACATGGACAGTATCTTTCTGTCTTTACCCTTGGGCAAACACCTCATGCCTACAACCATTGTCGAACCGCTGCATACTAGAGTGTAATATCGCCGAACCATTCGCCCTATTCAGCCTGTACCAAAGTAATATAGAACAAATATTATCCTTGCTTCATAAGGAGGCATTTTTATCTAGAGTTTAGAAGCAACAAGATGTCTAGGACAAGGAACTCCAAGCTTTTCGTTTAGAATATTTCAAGGATGAGAAGGGGAGGTGTGAGGTGTAAGGTCTCTGCAATGGCATTTCCCGCGCAGACGAGGATATGAGGAAAACCGGTTGCATGCTTGAGGTAGGACTTATATGTCCCGCTTTATCAAGTAGGTTAATGGACATATTGATCTAATACGTACATAGCACGCTTTCCTTTCAACATCATCCTGCATCTATCTATGCATCAACATACATATCTACCCACCACCCCTTCTCTTTCTCTTAATCTCCAGCCTTTATTTGTTCCTCATCTACTACATCCCAATCACCTCGCTTTCATCTCCCAAACCCAAAAAGAAGAAATACTGCGGTTTGTGCGAAGCAGTCACTCTACTACTGAGAAGACTAGATAAAAGATAAAAGAGTGACATATCCTATATTTCAAGACATCCCTCTTAATCATACACAGAAACACAAACAAGAGCAGAACTATACGTGTATACCTGTGCACGAAGGTAAACGGAGCCTAGCAACCCCTATATAACCCAAAAGCCATCATCACAGTATACGCATATACACATATTTACTCTGTGCTTCAAACTACTAAAGACCTTGACCCCCCCTAAGAAGATCTAGATAAGACCATGAATAAAATCATGACCAAAATGAAGATGGACATGGCTAGGTAGACCAGGAGACACACATACACACACACAGAGAGAGAGAGAGAGAGAGAAGAGAAATACACATTCAGAATCACACTCTACATACATACCTAACCCCCCCATAACCTTATTTCTACACAAACCACCCACTCCTCCTCTCTCTCTCTTTTTTTCCTTTTCCTTTTTCCCTCCCACTATACCATGTACCCAACACGACCAATAAAATCTCCAGTACAATAACCCAAGTACCAAATATACATTGTCTTTTTCTTTTCTAGCCTATCCCCTAACCCCCGTCTCTTCTTCTACGCTTTCCCACTCTCCTCCTTCTACCTCTATCACATGATACCACATGCACTCCCCAACGCCGGCACAAGAATTCATCAGATGCAGAACCAGAAACTCAAAAGAGAGGGAAAGAGCAAAGCGAGACTAAAACCTTATGTCTATGTGTGTGTATATCCAGCCAAGTAGGACTTTGGTATTGTCAAATGTACATACATACATGGTAGTAGGTAGACAATGCACATGTGTACAAGCGAAGATAGATACAAGTAACCACACAGGCGGTTTGAATACAAAACAGTACTACATCGATGTATAATTGAACAAGCAAACCTAGCACATAAACATTCATGGAAAAAGAAAAGAAAAAGTGCCAAGTGACAAAAGTCGAGTTCCACGATTCTACATTTTCTCCGTCCCCCTTCTACCTTTGTATATTGCCTTGCCTTGTCTTGCCTTTCCCTTCTTCTCTCTCTCTCTCTCTCTCTTTTCTTTTACCTAAAGCACACTAGTGGACATGACACTACACAACTACACAACTACACATCGTAACCACGTCCCCAAGTACACCAAATACCTATATTCTCGCGCTCTATAACCGTCATTTTGACTCACGTAACACAAGCATGTTTCTTTGTTCATTCATTCATTCATTCATTCAGATAACGGCGCCAAGTTGCACAAAGAAAGAGACATCAATCTACCGCATTGAGACGTAGAATACTGAATTGTATGTATCTAATTTCCCTCCTTGTTCGCATTTACACACACACACACACACACACATGTATGCACGCATGCACGCATCTTGGTGCCCCAAAGTCCCACTCGTCCCACACGTCCAAGTGTTCACTTGTGTGTCTGTGTGTCTGTGTGTATGTGTGTGTGTGTGGTGCTATCTCATCTCGCTTTTCTTTCACTGTTTATCTTTTTTGGGGGGGGGGGGAAGGGGCCCTGAGCGATAAAAGCGTTGGCTTTGTCGTGTCATGTCATGTAACGTCATGCAGAGTGAACATGGACGATAACTTCAAGAAAGATGCGCCATTGTGGGACACTACGCATTGGAGTTTGGTTGGTCCATGCACACACGCACTTGGTGCATCACCTTGGTATCACATCATGCTTCGTATTCACTGAGTCGACCTTGACGTGCAGTAAGCAGGATAAAAAGAAGAAAAAAAAGAAAAAAAAGAGAGTCCGAGCATACGCCAAGACCAGGCCAAAAGAAAAAAAGGTTACTAGGTGAATAGGCAGAATGCATACACAGACATGATGCCAAGAGTAGCGAGGTGCGAGAAATAAAATCAAAAAAAAACAGTAGTAAGAGAGAAAGAGAGATAGCGAAGACGAAGGTGGGAAGGGGGGGGGGCGCGGGGGAGAACGGGCAAGTCTGACGACGATGGGAGGGATCCGCACGCTCCCGGCGAGGGTAAGGATGTACCAAAAACCCAGAGACATAGCAACCCAGGCCACGTTTACATAGCCCCCCCTCCAACCCATCTCGAAACCTGCTCTTTCGCGCCCAAATGTGGCTGTTACCCGCGAATTCCGGGCAGGCGGAGAATATTACCCCGAATCCCAGCAAAAAGGTAGCCCGCTCCCCTTCCCCCAAAAAACCGGGAGGATAATAAGTAAACTATTACCTTTACCTAATCTGACGGGCATATAGCGAAAGGAATACCGCAATTTCAACCGAACTACATGGCCATGTGTACATGGATAGGGTACCACAGTTGCGATAGCAGTACAGTAAGCGAATAGCAACAGGTAGGTACCTCGCATTCGCAAAAAACGGCCGGGAGGCGAGGCGAGGGAAGGGAAGGGGCTGAGAAAATCATCCGAGAGCTAGGTAGCTAGGGAAGCACCGTCCGCCGCGTTGTATCCGCAGATGGGCCGGCGGAAGGTGCGTCAAGATGAGCGCACTGTTGCCCAACCACCGACAGTGCGCACTCTGGGGCCGCATATGTGAAGCACTTGCAACTGGTGAGGCACCCGGTAGTTATGGAAGAGGGCATATTGTAACGTAGTATTAGTGGCTAGGGTAGTTGGGTGTAGGTGTTGATGACGCCGAACACACCGCTCACGTTGCGTTTTCCTCCTTTTGGACTCCCCACAGCCATGTTTCGTTGCTTGTCCGCTGGTTTTGCAAAGATCGTCTTGGTCCCTGTGTACACTCGGGAATTTGTCCCATGGTTTCTCTCTTTCTACGTCTTCTTCCTATTCGAGGCTGCAAGGGGCCCGTGCTGGGATGTAGTCTTCGGGTAAACTTCGCCATATCGAGCGACTAGTAGTTTGTTAGTAGATACACATGTACGTAGTAGAAAGCAAGTCGCAGCCTCATTGCCATCAAACTGGGCATGCTCCTTGCATGTTCAGACTGCACGGTTGGCCAAGGCATGATTTGTCTTGGGCAGTTCAGGCAAACCGTTGTACCTGGGTTTCAGCAGAAACAAGGTCGTACACAGTTCTCGAATGGCGGTGACGACTGTGACGGTTTGTTTGGCAAGGAAACTCCCAGTTTGTTGCCCAACCCCATGGCTCTGATCATGGCTCGCGCATGGGGAATGTAGCCGGTGTTTCCTGGTATCGACACGAGGCTGTTAGCTCTGGGGCCAGCGAGATGGGGCCCCCTTTTTTTTTCTTTAGTAGGGCGAAAGAGACTTGACAAGAGGCCGCAAGAACGAGATGAGGGAAATACGCCTGGGCTACCGTCATCTGATCCGGATAGCCATGGCGAGCAAGCATGATGCCAGCTTGAGGGTTGTAGTCGAGGTTCCACATTCAGACTTGATACAAAACAGTTGCGCGATATGCGCCATGTTAGTTCCCGTAAGATGGCCAAACTCAATCGTCGTCGCCTGTTACGCTTGCGCCTTGGGTCGGGGGGTCGGGGGGATGTTTGGTAGCGAGGGGCTTAGTTTGGTGAGGGCCATGTGCCCGGTAATGGTAAAGACTGGGCGTTTAGCAGCAGGCAAGAAAGCGTCGCCTCTTGGTGGTCTGGGACGGCAAGTGGCAGAAGCCAAAACACCCGGCATGGCGCAATGGCGCTTTGGGCGCATTTCCCGCGAGTCGGCCCTTGGGGGCACGTCTCCATGGACTGACTCAAAGTTGTTCCGGAGAGGCCAAGTGAGCAGTGTTAGTTTGGGAGGATGCGGATGAGCAGGGACCAGGGTGGGATGGCTCTGGGACAGCTAGGGTGATCCCATCCAGGCTCTGTAGCACGGTCTTATTATCCATCCCACATGAAGCCCTAGGCTCGGGGTATTTGCCCGCCTAGCGCTAGAAGGCGGTTCGTATGCATCATGGTGCGAACGGACAAAGGGTAGGCATGCGCGTTGGTGCGGCGGTAAGAGGGCGATCACAGCTGTCACGCCGGCGTCGGTGGGCGTGCTGACTCTTGGGGCATGCTGACTCTTGGGGCATGCTGACTCTTGGGGCATGCTGGTAGACGGTGGAGGCCTCCGACATGGACGTGTCGCGTCGAGTCTCAAGACGAAAGAGGAGCCTTGCGAATGACCGAGGTACATACGTATGTAGATGGTGCGCGCGACACATCGACACAATCGACACACCCACGCCCAGTGATAGTGGAGAGTGCGCCATTGCCCACTCACCGCTCCTGGTGGCAATAGTGGTAGGAACAAATGCGCGCGCTCTTTCTCCACAATACACCCGCGATCCAACGGGACCCATGCCGGCAGGTTGAGGCATTGTGATGCATGTCCGTCGATCGCGGTTCTCTGCCAAAGGCTGCGTTCCCTGGTTCGAGGTTGATTGCGCCGCCTTGTGTGTAAATGTGCCTGTGGCCGTCGACGTCGTCATGGGAGAGCGGTCGGTGGGTGATGGGAGGGGGGGGGGGTGGACACGCGGCTAACGGCTGTCTTGGGTAATCGTGGTAAAACATGGCAGGCTTAGTGCGGTAATAGTATAGAGGACAAGGTGTGGGGGGGCAGAAGGAGGGGCAACGGTCCCACGGCGGTATGTCTGGCCAAGTCCGAACAAAAATCCTTCTCGAAGGTCGGCTTGGCAGGGATCATGGCTGGAGGAGGCCATGTAGTATGTGTGTGTGTGTGTATACTAGGCTGGACAGCCAAGGTAGGTATATCGCGCGCACGCTGGCAGTTGGCGCCGACCAGAAAGGCGCGCTCCAATCTTAGGGCGCCTCTGGGCGATGGGGCCTTGGAATGTGGATTGCGCTGGCAGCGGCACTGGAAGGGGAATGGGTGCAGGTGCACGACAGGGCATGCACGGAAGCTAGGTGATCATGGCGCAGATGATGTTATTTCCAGCGCATCATCATCGTGGTTCCGCTAGGGGAGCGTCGCGGGCCCTATCCGAAGGCAGCGAGGCCTCGTGACGACAACATGGTACGATGTCTTTTTCTTCGCACATTGCCGTGTCGTGGAGGGATGGGGGTGGAGTGTAAGCGTGCAGGCTGTCGTCGTGGGGCCCATACGCCGCTGCACGGTGACCGCATGCATCGATGCCGCGCCCGCATGACGGGGTGGTTGCATTGAGCGCATTGCCCTGTCAGTCCGTCAGTCGGCCAGTCAGTGTCAGTAAAGTATGGATGGGTGGTGGATGGAAGCGTGGATGGGTGGATGAGTGAATGTGTGTCGAGCGGGCTGGGGGAGTCGAGAGGCGCGAATTGCAAGCGAGGGGGAAATTGGGCGAGGGGGCCCACGACAAGCAAAGCACCACGACGACGACGACGACGACGACGACTATACCGTATGTCCTCGTCGACGGCCAGCACACGGGTGAAACACTTCCACACGACTGGGAATGGGTCCAGAGCCCGAGCAGATGATGCGCAGATCTCTCTCCCACTCCCACTCCCCAAGTGCAAGCACGATCCAAGGGCTTGAACGGGCGCTCCGATCCACCCTGCCACCAACACAGCCGATTGGCACACGCGCCCCGAATCAAAGGGCCTTGTTGACGACGTGGCGCGCTTTTCCCTCATCTCTCTCTCTCTCTCTCTCTCTCTCTCTCCCCCCCAGCCGGCGGCTGACCTCGCTTAGACCAAATCACATACATGGCGCATACATGGTTGCATGTGCCATGCCCCAACCCGCTGAGTCGCGCCCCGTCTCGTCTCGCTGTGTGGTTTTTTTATTTTTCCTTAATTTATTTTATTTTACTTTCCAACTTTATCTATTCGTCCGTTTGGGCGGGCCGTACATGCAGAGAAAAACTCAATACTGATTTGTTTGCTTTTTTCCCCCACCTCCTCATGTACAGTGTGCTAGGTGCGGCTTCATGTCCGTTCCAAAAGGATTTCAACGCATCTCGCTTGTGCCAAACGGCTGGAGGACGGATGGGAACCTCAGCGCCAGGGTTCAAGCATCAGACCATCTCTTGTCTTGCTCTGCCTTTTTCTCTTTTTTTCTTTTTTCGCTTTTTGGTCCGCTGCCGAACCAGTCTAACACTAACCGATTGTGTGTTTCCGACGTCGTGGTTGTGCTTTGTCGTCGTCGGTTGGGCCATGTGTGGTGGTGGTGGAATCACGCTTCCGATGCCAATCCATATCTGCCAAACTCCCCCCAATTGCCAAGCACACAAACACGCGTGGTTTCAGACTGATTAGAACCACTACTAAACCCAGCATGTGCTTTTCCCTATTCAGACCGAGTGCCGCTGGGTTCGGAGAAAAAGAACAAAGTCATGATGGCCATGTTGTCGTTATGTCCATGTGTGTGTAGTGTATGTGTGAATCAGTCGAGAAGAGCCTCTTTTCTCCAGACGAGCAAGCCACATGCACGCCCCATCACATGTGCCTTGTCGCAATAATCGACACGCACTACTGTACACAGAAGCGAGCAGCCGACCATCTGGCTTCCCGTCCATGTATGCAGAGTACCGACTTCGGCCCTGTGCAGACACCCACATGCGGGAGCACTGCCTTGTATGACGACGACAATGGGAGCCAGAGTCTCATGTCACTGCCCCGACGCCCACCACAAGTTGCTTTACCAAATCGCCCAATTACCACCGTGTTATTAGCCATGTTCCGAAAAGCGTGAGTGGAGGATGCACATGTCCTGCTGGCTTGGCTGGCTGCTACAAAACAAAAGCCGCGTGGTGATAGTATAGTAATAACATTGCTGCATTATGCGGCTGACACCAGCATGAAGGACTGCGAATCCTTCCAGCCGACCAACCGACCGACCCCGGTAACTTTTATTTCATTGTACTATATAGTAGAGAAAGCGGCAAAGGCCAGACCATGGCACGACAGGTGTCAGAGTGGATTGAATCAATACTATTTCACGAGTCAAAAGAAGAGATGGCTTTGCCAATGCGTGATTGATTGGGGGGGTGTAGAATCCATGGGACCGGGGGAATCATGTTTTACATTGCAGTTGGGCCGCGCTCCAAACGTAGTGGAAACTTAACACGTCAGGACCCGTCATGGAGGCTGACAACAAGGCTGTAACGGAAAGCCATGTTTGTAGCGAGCGCAGGTAGATTGCGCATGGGGGAGCCATGGCATTGGGGGGTGTGGGAGCGGAGCGGGCGGCTGCAAAGGAGGATTGGCCCGGATGGGGTAGAAACAGTTGTGGCGGTGGGCAGCGTCATTTTTCTTTGCCATGGTAGGATGACGAGGAAAGGGCACACACACACACACACAAGGATTATTCTGACACTGGACCCCCCCCCCCACTCGGTCGATCTGTGTGTTCCACACTATCGGCCTGTTCCTAGGCTATAGAGGTAGTAAATAACGCTCTTTGAGGTGCACATGGAGGGCCGATAGACGAATTGTCGGGTAAAGGCCGTGTTCCTGAATCGGGCGGAGGGCCAGACACATGCACCCCTTCTCTCTCTCTCTCTCTCTCTCTCCATATCCATCTCCCTTCTTTTGACCGAAAAAGAAAAAAAAACAGGAAATAAGCGTACAACATCGCGACTGATGGCGAAGTAGGATATCGTTAAACAAACACAAAAAAACTTAAACTCCATTCAAATGCATAACGTGGTTTGGGAAAAACCCCCAGGGCGCCGATGCAGAAGTCGTGCAAATGGTATCGTTGGCGAGATATGACAGAACAAAGCTTGTCATGAGCAGAGACTCCGAGTATGTCCAGGCTTGTCAAGGCCGATTGCGTAAGACGATTAGGTGCGGCTTTTTTTTTCTTTGTTTACTTTGCACATCATGCCGTAAGAGTAGTGCTTGAGGCTGCGTGGCATCCTCTCTCATGTCGTTTCATGTTGCTGCGTACGCTAAAGGCCTTGCCGCATCCAGGCTGTGGGCACTTGTATGGCTTCTCACCCGTATGGCTGTGGCTGTGGATGCGCAGGCTGCTTGGGCGCGAAAAGGCCTTGTTGCAAGTCGAGCAGATGTAGCGGTCCTGTGGTTGGGGGAATTGCGACTGGCTCGACGTGCTGATGTAGTGGTGGTGTTGCCACGGGTTGGAGCCGTTGGCGGCCGGGCTGGGAACCGGTACTGGCAGCGGCATCGAGTGTGGCTGGAAGTTGGACGGCAGCGGACGCTGGGTGTACAGCTGAGAGCTGTTGTAAGAGTGCTGCTCAGGAGAGTAGAACGAGGCCGACGAGGCGGCGCCGGGTGACGACTGGTAGGGAGACTGGCCGTAGACCGAGGTGCTGTAGGGCGACATGGAGTGCGACTGCTGCATCGACTCGCGCTTCATCGAGGGCACGGAAAACGACTGTCGCTGCTGATGCGGCTCCATGTTGTTGAGGGCACCACCGACAAAGTAGGGCGTCGAGGCAGCAGAGTGGTTCGAGGCGGCCGAGGGCGACTGGTTGCCGTCGTGGGCTACATCTGGGTGCATTGGCGGAGTTGGGGGCAGAGTCATTCTCGAAGTGGCGGGCGCCGAGGCTGGCGTGTATGCGGTGAATTGCTCGGGGCGAGTGGCCTGGGGCTGTGACTGCTGCTGTTGTTGTTGGGGCTGTGGTTGGGTTGCGCCTGCCTCTGCCTGTTGCTGCTGTGCCTGCCTCAGCTGTGGCGATGACGACTGGCGATGCTGTGATTGAGGGCTTTGGGAGGCTGCAAAGGCGGTTAGCAAAAAGGGTCAGGGGAGGAGGCGCCTTGGAGAGAGCTTACCCGAGTCAGATGACGCCGTCTTGTCGTTGCCAGCAAACTCGAGGAGACTCGAGATGGATGGCAGCGAGGGCTTCTTCTCCTCGGCGGGCGGCGAGGGCGGCGACTGGGGCCGCTGCTGCTGCTGTTTTTGAGGCTGGTGCTGGTGTTGTACTTGGTGTTGCTGGTGTTGTTGCTGTTGCTGTTGCTGTTGCTGTTGCTGTTGCTGTTGCTGTTGCTGTTGCTGTTGCTGTTGCTGTTGCTGTTGCTGTTGCTGTTGCTGTTGCTGTTGCTGTTGCTGTTGCTGTTGCTGTTGCTGGC